ATATATATATAAGAAATATATAAAATATATTCATAGGAATTGTTAAGAAGCACTTCTATGTACTATATATTGTTTTCCAACTTTCTCCATTATGTCAAGAAATAAAATAAATAATAGTCCGGAGAGATGTTATAGACAAGCTCAATTCACCTTTGCTCCAGAAAAAAAGTCAAGCTAAGAACGACACGCGTAGTCTCTCTCTCTCTCTCTGTGTGTGTGTGTGTGTGTGTGTGTTTGTGTGTGTGTGTGTGTGTGTGTGTGTGTGTGTGTGTGTGTGTGTGTGTGTGTGTGTGTGTGTGTGTGTGTGTGTGCGTGCGTGGGCAGCTCGATCATTAATTATATATAGGAGGTAAATAATATATATTTCAATGGATACTCTCTGGAGTCTCTCAGACTCGTAGATAAGTTAATTAGGAGGCAGCTCTTTCCTCGACACAATTAACGAATTAATAAGGGATATTTAGCTGAGTTTGTCGTCCTACCTACCTCCGAAAGGATGTCGACTTCCTTTCTTCTGGGAGGCGGTGAATGATACACCATACCGTCCTTACCGACACCGTAAAGTTCAAACATCTTTCTCTCCGACTTTTCGTCCGTTCTTTACCCTTGTGCCAGAGTTTTTGTTGGTTCCGCCGCTATCGTAAATACAGAGGGAACGGCGTCCCGACGCGGCGTCGAGCCTCGGCGCACGCGTCAACCATCATATCGATCCGGTTTTGCGCGAGTCTGAAAAATTATTAACAATCGTCAAAGTGTTGCATCGAGAATGATGCTTGTCAACTCTCTACGCGTAACTTGGAAATTACATTTAATTAAATTTAAAAAAATATTTATACTTTTCTTAATTATTGCAGTCTCAATTACTTAATTAATATTCTCCGTTTACCAATCGCAATAATTTATTTTTCTTCAAGCAAAAAGAAAGAATTCGATTATAAAAAAATAAACGCATGCATGAATATTTATTCATTTATTATATATATAGTATCGACATTTTAAAAAATGATAAAACAATAAAAACAGTAAAAAGATCAATTAAGATAAATACATAAATAGAATATCTCAACAAAAAATAATTAATCGAATCGATGCTGATTCAACGTCGATCAATCAATCATTTCTGGGAGTCCATTATATAATATTTCCAAGGTGATATATGATAACCATATGAAATTATAATATAAATATTCTAATTAAATATTTGCTAACTTTTTTGTAATTTTCACCTCATTTCAAGAGTGCGTTCCGTTTCACGCATAAATGTATCATTTTATTATTTTTTAATATTTAATAAAGAAGATAAAATGATACATATGAGAAATGAAATGTATTCTAACAAGATATACAATCAACCACCTACATATAAAGCCGGTTTTATTAGGTTGGCAAGAAAGTAATTACGTTTTTTTAAAAGGTATCTATCAGTAAAAATCGCAATTACTTTCTTACCAACCAATATAAATATATCTTAATCTTAGAGTAAAGTTTTAAGAATCTCTTTTTTAAATTGCGATACGACAATTTTTAACGAAGTTATGAGCAATTAAAGTCAAAATAATCCTTTTATTTAATTTGCAATAACTCAATAACCAAAAATCGTAAGAATATTTTTAAAAATCGATTTTGTAGAGAAAGTATCAAGCTTTCACGATAGGTAGTCGAAAATTTTCTCAAATTTGTTTTGAGCACGTTACAAACCCACAAAGTGAGAAGAAAATTTTCCATCTTTTTTGGTAGTTTTTGGTATGTAAAAATTACGAAACTCATATAAACTTAAAAAACGTGGTAAGCTTTTAAAAGTAGAGATTTCAAACTTTAAAACTCTTTTTTTAAATTTAAATTTCATTCATTATTGATGAAGATATTGTATATACAATTTTGAATTAAAAAAACACAAATACTTTCTTACCAACCCAATACATTAGACGTAAGCCGATCGCAAGTTTGTTGCGACAGCCAATCTGAAGCTTGCATTTTAAAATCAACGTTTCATATTGACTGTCGCAACAAACTTGCGATCGGCTTGCAATTAATGTAGAAACCGGCTTAAGATTGTAATGAGAGGGACCGTGATGAGAGAGAGGCTTTAGTTTGGAGGTAGCTTTAGCCTACTGATACCTCTGAAATTATAGAATATTCGCGTAAACTTCAATCAAAAATTATACATCGAAATCGATTTGTTCTTTAATATCCTAATTAAAATGTCCATCTTCCCGCGCTCGAGCATCGGCCGCGGAATGGCGCCTGTGACGTGACTGTGAGGCGGCATAAACTGTGAAACGAGGCGACAGGCGGCTGGAAATGGTGCTGCCATCGGGAGACAGATTTCGCAGCCACGGCGCCACGCCGTCCATGCGAATTCGCGATAATAAAGGGAGCGTTCCTCCTCCCTCCTCCCTTACCGACCGCCATATTGTTTGCGATATTCCGTGTGTTCCGTGTGCACGTTCCTCCGGTTGAGGTTCCTCGTACTTTCCTCAGCACCGCGTGACGCCCGCGTAACATTCTTTTCGTGAACAGTGTCTCAGAAAATTGGCAAACATTTCGCGCAAGGACAGCATGAAGAAGATCAAGGATTACTCGGACGAGGATGATTACGAGGTGGACGATCCGGACTATCCGGAGGTCGAGGGCGCCTCCGAGGAGGAATGGACTCCGGAGGCTGGAACCGAGGTAAATTAACACGCTGCGCGTTCGCTACATTTCTTTTTCCTGTCACGCCCACGTCCGCGAAAGAGGACGACCAATTCTTTTTTTTCATTTTTTTTTTTTATCGTGTTTGCATCGTTTGCGCGATAAAGGACGCTCGTTTGAGAGGGGAAAAGAGAAAGAGAGTGAGCGAGTGTGTGTGTGTGTGTGTGTGTGTGAGAGAGAGAGAGAGAGAGAGAGAGAGAGAAGGTGAGAGCGACCGACTCCGATGCTCCGGCGGAATTTCGCCGCAACTTAGCTGCTTCAGAAACGAGGATGCTTATCGCGGAATTCGCGTCTCTTGCGATTTCCTCCCGATGAATCGGACTCGTGCCAAGAATGCACCAGGTAAAATGATACTCGTGTATTCCGAGATCGTGATGGAGCGAGGATGTCGACGGCGGACGATATTAGCTGATGTGTTCCCCTTTATATCACGGGCACGGAAGAAACTCGCTCGAGATCCTCGGCGTCGAGTCTGCTTGCGAAACCATGATGTGCGATTTCCCATACGACGACCCGGTCGCGCTGTCCAGATGTATCTTTCGAGATAGAGCCGTTCGTCTAGTACGGTCTTCTCGTCGCATTGCTTCGCGATGGCGATGGCCATCGTCGCCGGCGGCCGGCCGGTTGGTTCAATTCATTTCAGTTGGTTGATCGGTTGCTCACGCCAGTGGCGCCACGCCCGCGCCGCTCGGCAATATTTCAAATCATCAGTAATCGCTACTTCACCAGAAGAAAGTATTTATGTACTACGTACTGCGGTATTATAATAATCTGGTTTCACATAATGTTGGTAATTTAAATCTCGATTCATTTATTCTTCATTCTTTTCCTAATTCTAAGAATTAGAAGATTAGAAAAAGATAAACAATAAGTTAAACCGTGGTAAACAGTAAGTTAAAGTTAATTTTTACATCGGTAGAACCGGACCTATCGTACTATTCGTTTCTATAAATATGTAGATTGACTTTAATCTTCGTGACTTTTTATCTTTTTCTATAGTTCTTAAAATTAGAAAAGAATAAAGAGTAAATTAAACCGAGATTGAAATTAACCATTTACATTGGTAGATATTCAACTGCTTATCTCTTTGATAGAATCTCGGTTCCTCTTTAATCTTCGGATCCTTTTCTAATTTTCGGAATTAGAAAAAAGTAGAGTTAGTGAATCTAAAATTAAAATTAGACTATATTAGTAGAAGTGGACAAGCAAGGTTTTGACTAAATCTGATTAGCTTAATGTGATTGTTTCAACTGCCAGAATTGTTTAAAGCGAAATTTTTCTCATTTTTAAGGATCCCGCATAAATTATATTAAGGGAAAGTAATTTCAGTCGAATTGGCTGAATTTTTTATGTATTGTAGTTCTCGTCATTCCGAACAAATGTGCACATTGAGACATATGTTCAAAATGACAAGAACTGCAGTACATCAAGAATTCAACCAAAACAATTCAACTGAAACTATTTTGCACATGATTTGTGCGAGGTTCTTTCTAAATATAATTGCCTATCTAATCTTTTTCCATGTTAAACATGTTAAAGTTTAATAGTTCTACTTAAATAGTAAAAATATTATTTGATCGGTACTCAATCAAAATCTAATTCTAATGCTTACTCTCCCCCCCTCCCTGTAGATTGATTTTAATTTTTGCTCAACTTACTCTTTATCTTTTCCTAGTTCTAAGACTTAATTTCGAGATTAAAGTTAATCTACATTAGGCATCAGAAAACCATACCAAACATTTTTCAAGATATCTTCTTGTTAATTGTTAGACATAGTTTAGTTTGTTACATTAATGAACTAAGGGATGTTCACATAGTGTCCTATATTTCTAACTTAAATTGTATATTTTTCTATCATTCGTTTTAAGCTTTCATAGAAGCATGATTATTGTGAATACGATTAAAAGTACATAACAGAGAAAGAAAAATATTTAATTTTGATATATTATTTGTGATTTTTTTAATAGGCTGGCACTAAAATAAGGCCACAGAGAGGAGCAGGAAAAAAGCGACAGCACTCTGAAGAGGAAGACGAAGAAGAAGAAGAGGAGTTCGAAGAGGATGAAGAGGAAGAGGAAGAGGAATCTGATTCTGATACAGGAAAGAAGTCAAAGAGGAAAAGGCGCTCTAAGAAAGACGATGATGAAAAGGAGGATGAGGAAGATGACGATTCTGATGACAACAGTTTCAACGAATCTGGAGAGACTCCAAAAGAATACACAGTAAGTCATTGAGCAACGATCTAGTTGAGTATAATAAACTTTAAAAAAATGTCTGTCTATATCATTAATGTTTCTTGCAGTCTGGTTCATTCGTTCTTTTAAAAACTGACGTTGAATCTAATAAGAATAAGGAAAATAACTTATCCAGTAAGGGTAAATCCGATGTGGAATCAAGCACTTATCCAACCTTGTGGAGGATAGATGGAAAAGCATTGCTCCAAAAGTTTCTACCTTTTAAAGAAGATGGGAAAGTACTGTATAGAAGCACGACGACAGTAAGTGCTTTTTTTTTTCAGAATAAAGAATAATGTATTCTAACATACACTAAATTGACCTAAATTCAGTTGCATTAATCGAGATTAGATATAAAAAGAAACTTGTAGTATATAAATTTCACTTAAATTATATTTATAAATATAATTTACAGAAATTACATTTCATTTCAGTATTCTGGTTGGCAACAGAGTAACAAAGACCAATACATAGCGGTCCACGTGTCCTTTAAAGTGCAAAGTAGACAAGAGACAATTGTTGAACTCCATTTTGATCCATCGCAACCACAAGAAGTTGTAAAGTACGTAAATTATATTGTTGCTCGCATTGCAATCATCTACATTGTTGCAGTATGTATAACGTGATTATTGTTTACAAATTTGTTTTTATTAATTTCAGGGATGATAAAGAAGATTAAATTAGATTGAGTTTGCTCTTATTTGTTTATATACATCTTAAGGAAAAATATGTTGTAAGGAAAGAAAGGACGGAAACATCCACATCTACATGTACACTATTCACGAAACATATATTTACACATACACATGGATGATGTTTGACATGGTACTGTAGCAGGTTCATATTTAAAATATAAGATTGGATGGACCATGGCTCTTGGAGTTTATTACTGGGGGTAGTTTAGCTATAATTGATATCCCTGACAGAATATACATGTGAGCTTATCAAGAAATCTACTCGCTACATGCATCGTATTTATGAAGTTTAGTAACGCAGAACCACTCGATAATTTACGAATGTTTTATCTCCGATAGAAATTCAATGTTATCTAACATAAAGGATGTATGTTGATGTTCGATTTTGTTTATAATGTCACCGTTAGTCTGTTTGTGATTTAAACTCTACAAACGCTGCATTGGCTTTGTTATTTATGCAGCTATTTCAAGCGCGCCCGTAGTGAGAAATAAATGGAACTATTAATCTGTCTAGTCTGATATAGTAAAAAGAAAGATAATTTTATATTTGAATAAATACAAAAAAAAAACAGCGTAAATTGAATACGTAAATTATTTGATTATAAATGATTAATATATATCTTTTTTCGATTAGATCTACAACTAGAAAAAATGCTAGTTAATATCAAAATTACATAAATAAGGAATTCTACATATATTTATATGTAGTTTCCATTACTACGGACGACGCTAAATCAGTTCTTGTGTGTCGCTTATCATAAGACAAAAACTAGCAGATCCTTCCAGTAATTGACTGCACTCATAACTTGTAAAGGGGATCAGTTGTATGTACAAAGTTAACTTATATTATTGATGATATTGACATATTTTGTCTGTTATTAAATAGTTTGATCTCGTCTATGTCTGGTATATCTATGAAATTGTGTTATTTTACACATCAATTTATAAGATATAGTTTCGCGATTATTTATGATAAGTAAAAACACATTTGAAAAAAAAAAGATACTTGGATAGTTTATAGTGAACAATTAATTTCTACGAACGTTATAAACGGTACACTTAGCAGTGTGTTTAATTGATAAATTCATTAGGTGCAAATTATGGCTAATACATATAAAAAAAAAAAAATGAAACTCAATTGCGGTATATATTTATTATTGAGTTTTCCCACAATTGTACATTGTACCTTAATAAATATAATTACTTTCTGTATACTTTATTTAAATAATGCGTGTCTTAGCAAGATTTCATCGTTTGATATTGTATAAGAAGTCAGAAAATTTGTTACAGAAACTGATTTGTTAAATAATGGACGATGAAAATTCTATTACATAAATGTTAATATTCTAAATTTTTTTATTTATATTGTATGATATTTTTTTTCACAATCTTATATTTCTGTACTAACTATGGTTTTATTTGTATATCATGATAAAATAAAAGACATTTTTCTTTATTAAGTGATGTTATAACTTAGGGAAAATTAAATCCGCATTTAGTAATATTAAATAAAATTCAATTCTTTCAATTGTTGATGTTAGCATTTTAAGCATTAAGTAAAAAGAATGAACAGACTTATACATACATTTCATAACAATACATATATATTAATTTAATGTATATTTAACATCTTTTTTCCTTCCCCAAATATTGTAAGTAATAGTGTTCTTTTATTAATATCAAATAATTTGCATTTAATTGATCTCAATAGAACGAGTATATGTCATTTGATTTGATTTTAAATCTCAGATCATTTCTTCATTATATTTAGTTTATTAAATCGCAAATTTCTTTAAATATATTATAGCTACTGATCCCGTTAGATTAAAGTTAAAATGAATGTATATTATTTATATCTATAATGTGATATGTGGAAATATACTATTATTCAAGAAGTACTCCAATATGGCAGCATAAATTAATTTTCAATAATTGATACCCAAAACCAGTTGAGTTGTTTTCTGAGAAATTCCTTGAGAACACATTATTTTGAATATAAAAAAATGACAAAAGATGAAGAATTAACAGTTGAACATCTTACCACACCGTACCGACAGTATTATAATTGTAGAAGACTAGATCTCTTTTTATCTGCATAAAATATGGAATGACCAGCATTTCAATATTACAATATATAATTATTAAAAAGAGTGAAAGTATCAAACTTTCATTACTGTTCTGGCTGTTCTCAACTTGCAATTAATCTTCCTGTTGTGCATTATATTATACACATTATACATACAAAAATGCTCAATTATATAGAAAAATTCTATTAAACGTGAACAAGGTATAGCTATGATTGTTACTTATTTTTCAATTATAAACTAGAGATATTCAATCAATAAATTTAGTTATAAGATAACAAAGATAATTCAAACTTAACAATTCGAAGATATGGTAGCGAAATGTACACGAATTACATAACAATGTAACATAACAATGTGATTAGAATATAAGATAGAGTTAAAAAGAGAAAAGTCGAAATAACGCAAGATCAAATTAATCGTTTCGAGTATGTGAAATTTAAAATATAATTCATAAAAGTATAAATTTTGTGCAGTCAAATTTCAAATAAAGCGATTATTTATATTTGAATTTATTAATAAATATTATTTAGTTCATCTTTATCCGTTTGATTACTTGGCTTAGCTATGCAAATTTTAAATGATATTTGATAAATGAAACTCATATGTTCTCACGTTCAAGTGATCTTGTATATCGATTATAAAAAGGTATCTCTTCTCTCAATCTCAAAATATCATCCATATATTTAAATTGATATTTTATTTCACACAATGAAAGTTTATATTTATCTTAATAATTCACCTGTGTCAGTATTAACGAAGTATTCTGATAAAAATGCACTTTTTTTTTTGATCGTGTGCCAATACCTAATCTTAAATAAAATCAAAATGTAATAAGATTTTGATGTTTATAACTTTCGTTGAATGTAAAAAAATGCAAGAAGTATAAACAGAAATATAAAAAGATTTATATTAATATTTTTATATTAATATTAAGCATGCAAAAATAATCGAGTGTACACTTATCGGCTTTAGTTTTAGATAAAAAGAAATACTAAAAGACTGTTCTTAGATACGTACATTTCAGAAATAGCATTAAAAAATGTATACTTCGAAAATATTTGATTTCTGAAATAGAAGAATAGATTAGTTTAAAGTGTTAAATAGAAAGTCAAAAATTCTCTACAAAATATTAATTTTCTCTAATGTATCATATTCACCCTCCCGCCCTCTTCCATATCACAAAATGATAATATTACTTTTACCAAAATTGGCAATTGCTCTTAAAATCCTGGTTCCATCCTGACTGATAACACACTGCTTAGCATATCACGAATCTGTGCAACCTCTCTCCTACTTCTCGCTAGCATATCCTCTAATCTCTTATTCTCTTGCATAATCTTCTCCATCTTTTTCCGATATTTCCGTTTGTTAGCGTAACAACAACAATTCGGACAGTTTTTACCATGCTTACAATCTTTACATACTTTACCTTTGTAACAACAGACTTGATTATCTTCCGTACAAGAATGATCACTAGACGCCGAATCTTCCAGTGCGGTTTGAAAGCATTCTAATCTGTTGATAGATTCACTAACATTTGGCGAAGGTATGTAATTAGATTTACTAAACGAAAATTCCGTCTCCGTTTTTAATTCCAGATCGTTTTTATCTTCGGCTGGCTCGAATTTTGGTATATTTAATTGTGCACTATCAGTTACGCCACTCGATACTTCATTATCTACATTAGGTTCTATTATTACTATACTTGGTATGCTAGACCTAATAGGACTTAGATCGCAACAATACATTGCGGTTGTATCACATACTCTAGACTGTCTTTTGAGACTTTTCCTCTTTTGCATTAACGTATGCTCTTTACTTTGACGTTCAGCAATACGCATTGCACTATCACTAAATCGCCTTTCATAAAATAATTTATTCTTTAGGAGTTTAGTGTCACACGAACCATCGCTAGCCCTTCGAGTATCAGAAAATTCGTGTCTTCTAAAAATTGTATTTGTTGTATTATGTTCTTGGTTCCTATCATCTATATTTGTGCCACTTTGAGCAATATTTAAGCTATTCAAGATCTCCCGATCATCTTTTGATAATTGGTCGATTTCAGAAAATTCGACAGTATCATCAAACGACAATTGCTTCGCTAGCCTTTTGTCATACTTTGAAAGATATCGGGGTTGGAATGTCATACTTCCTTCTGGAGATGATTGTTTTAATTCTATAGATTCATTGACATCCAGTGAGTTATTATGATCATTTACTGAATCGCACGTAAGTTTTGTACCATTGGTAGATATTTCAATTAAATTTCCGTCGCATCCGAAAGTAAATGATTTTTGTCCTACAAGAGAGAAAAAATCAATTTTATCAATTTTACATAGTAACATAAATTAAATGTCAATATTAAAATTTATTTGCATCATTTCTCGTTTACCTATGATCATACGCTTATTGTGCATATCAGGGCTTTTGGAACGTGGCTGTTCCAAGAACTGCCTATTATCAGGAGACAGCACAGAGAATTTGCCATTTTGATGTAATGAACTGTACTGGTCATAATTATATAAACTCGTATCCACTTCATGGCTGTCATGTTCTCGCAAGCGTTCCATAATTTTTTGCACAATTTCCGATGGGGCTACATATGGCGATCCTTTGAAAATACAGAAAAAAAAACAAGATGTATCGTATGTATATTCATTAATGATAAATAACACTAATTGCCGCAGAACAAGATGCGATGCATGGAATGCGTACATCAAATGAAAATAGAATAATACATATGTATTCTAAGAACAACATATAACACGTGCACAAATTCTATCTATTAGTGATATATTTCATACAACTGTATATTTTTTTTAAAACGGCTAGATTATTGCACACGATTTATATTTAAAATTAAATATTACTTTAAGATACCCCAGTGATAACATTAGGAAACACATTTCGATTCTATTACTACTAGTTTGCGGTTTGAATTTGTGTTCTTAATGCATTAGTACACGTCATTGTATTATTCTTGCATACTATTGTTCATGCAAAATTAATTTAAAACTTAAATCACATGTATAATTCATTGCATATCTACAATCCGGTAAAATCCATTTTTGTTCTATTTTATATAAGATT